TCCCATTTGGAAAGCGTTCAGATGCAGCCTTCTCTCTATGGAGCTCTTGTTTCTTGAGTGCTTTTCGCCGTAGTACCGGCACATATGTCTCTTTCAAGACGACGATACTGATTGGGAAAAGGGCGCCAGTACTGATAGCCACGACCCAGAATGTCCAGCGCCAATTCAAATACTGGGTGATGTAGCCTCCTATTAACGGACCAACGGCGCTGCCGAGAAGGGGAATCAGGCTAGCGATGGATAAAGCGAACCCGCGTTGGGTTACCGAGAACAGATCACCTGCCATGGCCGGATTCAGGTTAATTGAAGAAACAGTAGCTCCGGTCAAGAACCTGAAAACTATGATTTGACTTGCGCTGCTGCTAAATCCCCCGGCCAGCGTGAATATAAGCCACAGCGAATTAAAGAAATGGCAGACGGGCACCCTTCCAAAACGTTCGGAAAGTGGCCCAATGTAGAACGCGGCGATGACTTGGCCCAGATTAGGAACAGTGATGAAGAAGACAGAGAAAAAGCCGCTGTAGTTGTCGAACTCCTGGGATATGGCGTTGCTCGCAGGGGCACTGATACCGAAGGATGTAGCGCTAGAATACGGCATTAGGATATGATATCGGCGGAGACGCCCAGGACATACACCATGAGAGACACCAGCGCTAGAACAAGGATTATAGCCCACTTGCGCGCCTTGGACCAGTTCTGTGGCAATAGCAGATCAGGCCTGGGCTCAGGCCTGATCCCGCCCTCTGGCATCACGGTAATGGTGTCGTGGGCTGGCAACGTGGCCCCCTCATGTGTCTTTGCGGACTCAGGTGAGCCTTCAACGGCGGCCATCGCTTCCAGCGCTGCAGCGTTGTCTTGTGGGGCCTCAATTAGTGAAGGTGCCGGGTGGGCAGACGTGATAGAAACTCTACTGGATGGCCTGATGCCACGACAGTCAGTTCGGGTCGCGAAGACGCAATTCGTAGTGGCAGAATATGCGACGAGAAAGAAGAAAGCCGATTGCGTCACGCCCCACCCCAGTTATTAGTAGGCATTCAAACTCGCTTGGGCTCACCAACCGGCATCAATAGAGGGGAAGAGTTGATTCGATCGGAACCGGTGAGGTGAGGGAGAGAACAAGGGAGGTATGGCGTGCGGCCAATAGTGGGGAGCCATGTACCACCAATGTGGACTGACAGAGCGGTTTGTTGGTTGCCTAACGATACCTTCATGCGACAAAGAGTCGTGGTAGGCATACTCGAACATACGCCTCGAGCGTTGATCCTCCCTCTTGTCCCCAGTATTTCTTGCAGACCCTCTTCCCCACACATTTTCTTGACAGCACAATCTTTAGAAACTCTATTTTCCAATGGCATTACTTCAAGTTTCCCCGTCCGAGCATATAGTTTGGCTTGCGGATGAGCTTGGTCTTGACTGTAAGCTTATGATCCACAATCGCCCCCTATTCCTCGGCCCCTAGTTGATCAAGGGCCTCAACCCTCCTGGCCAAGCGCCCGTGATCCATACTCCTGGAGGGCGGTGCACTTGTTGAATGCGTGGTACAGAATTATGAGAATAGGAAGCTTCGTCTGCCGCCGTCAACCCCAAGTTACGCCCAGTAGTAATATCTCTACTGGTTTCACTTTGCCAACGGGAATCTCCATCTCCAGCTGAGCCGTGTGATGGTGCTCAAGCTATGCAACGTCAATCCAGTGGAATGGTATGCTCAATGTCATTTCAAACACCTCATGAACAAAGATCTTAGTGCCAACGAGTGACTGGCGGGACAGACACAAAAGAGCTCGGGAGAAGGGTGATACCACCTTAGAGTTGATGATTGATAGGAGAGGGCCTGCTTAGTTTTTTCAGGATCTCAAGGATGAGGGTAAAATGTAAGCCTTTGGGTTAAGCACTCAGCTGAACCAGCATCTCCAAGTATCCAATACCGGAAAGAAAATAATAATTACCGAGGGAAATGACGAGAAGTCGGATTCGCTAAGAGTCTATATAACGACTGATATTCCATTTATCCTGCTCGTTACACCGTGATATAAATCTCATTTTGCACAATTATGTAATGAATGCCGTACGTTTAGATGGCCATGATAAAAAAAATTAATTCTTAACTATCCGCTTTCCTAGGCAAGTGCCAACACAGAAAGGTGTTCCACGGTCCTAGTTCGTAAAACCGGCCCCAACTGGCAAAACCTAAGGTAAAGTAAATATAACAGAAAGAACGCAACGCTGATCTAATACGGCGATAATGAAACAGAAGCCCAACAGCTACCAAAAAAGGGCGGAACCACAGTACTGCTACAATAAGTCAGCAGACACTTCCGTATTACCAGGTGTCTAAAGTCGCCTTATGCCTCTCGTAGCTAGAGAAGACGTAGTCTAATTAGTTAGCCTTACTGTCTTCAGGTTAGTTTAAGTAAGCTACACATAATAGGTACTAATGCGCGAGTCAAAGAAGTACCAAACAGTGGGGCATGATATTATCATCTGTAATAGAGCCTATTATCTAGCCATGGGAAAAGTATTACCGAGTTGAAGCCATGTCTAAGATGCACATACAGCAGGTCTGGAATCCCTGACCATATCATGCAAGTTAGGCTCTAAAACCTGTTTATGTCTCACTCTTCTTTTAGTCAAAGCCTATTCGTGTCATGGAAGTAACGGCTTCCTACATAGAAGTGAAAACAATTCCCAAGCCGATCATTATGAGTATCACCTGCCATACAATCCCGAACGAGTTTGTTCTTCCCGGTGGCCTCGACTTCTGCCACTCATATTCAAACCACTCAAGAAGATCAGTATTGACATCGTCACGCATAGGTGGGCGAGCGCCACGAGTATCCAGGATGGCCTCCTCGCCCTTCCACCACTTCGGGTGGGCTTTGCCATCAGGGTTGAATCTGACCTGGCGCAGCCATGTTCGAATCGCGTCACTACTCGGGAAGTTAATCCGCCTTCTCCTGTCGACCATCCTTAATGTACCACGAGAAATAAATCGCTCGGCCGATTCCGGGCTAAGGCATTTGTGGCCCTCAACGAACGTACATCCCTCCTCCGATGTCGCGCTATACTTGACGCTCGGTTCGACTCGATCTTGCCTCTCACTACCAGGGGCACTTGATATCTCGTACACACGATAATCGTCTTGCCGTCTCTGGATGCATAGGTCACCGGAGACCACCATATGTGTGCTGGATCCATGATGGGAATGTGTTTCAAGGCGATCCGGCTTAGTAGGGTCGGCTATCGTATGTTTGGTGGGATCGTATTGAGTAGCATTGATACTATTCGTGTTGACCCATTTCCAGCCTTGATCACGGACTTCTCTCTCCTCGGAACTAATGGGTCCGCCTCTGGCGTAGACAAAGTCGACCCCTTGATGGTTGTTCATGTTGAGGTTGCTATAAATCTCTCTCGTAGTCTTTGGGTCGTACACTCTCTCATTCATTCGTTTTCCCGTCCGGGACTCGTCATTATATACATATAGCAACGCTTATTTTTGTGCCTTACTCGCCTATCGAAGGTAGTGATATTACAGTCTATGGACCTAGAGAGATCAAAATGGGATTTTACAGAAGGCTTTCCCGAGACAAGCTCCATCGTCTCTAACACAAACATGCTTTGTTCCAGGCAAAATAGCTCATGCAAAACCGTTCAGTTCTTGCTCATTCCCAAACAGCCTGGGTCAAACTTTCGGCATCTTTGGCCCAGGGCACCGGTAATATACAATTTTGTATGGTTCTCCTTGTGTTTCCCGAACCGCCTTCGTTTATCTATAGCCTCGAATCCCCTTGCCCATCTTCAGGCCCTCGTATCATATTACCAGCCCACAAGCCTACCTCTACAAAGGTACATCTAAAGGCTTTACATGAGGTTTCTACGATATTATAGCGACCCAGATCGTGCATAGATTCTATTGTCTTACCAAAGGTGTTCAAACAGGCGAATGTCTTCGGTCACGGCACCCCGGCACCCGCAGCTATTCACGCCAAACAACCACCATTTTCGTCGCATCTATTAGGGTAACCGCGATTTGAGCAATAGGAGGAATGTTATGATCTTCGTGATTATACTGTTATTATTCTGCGGTCGCGTTATTGTTAATATAGCTTGCTAGTTCTTAATAAGAACTTAAATCTTGAGATTACTTAAATATGCCATTTAGACTACTTAAGTCACGAGCAATTGAACTTGGAACTCTATATAAATCCCCAGATTAGTCTTGCGAAGCATTACAGCTCGGGAAGAAGTGCAAATACCTACGCCCGTTCATGTAGGCACTTATATATACTCATAGCCTATTTATCTACTTTCACCAGCTCGCTTATCAGAATTGATTCTTTATCCAACTCCCCTTCTCATTATTAGATGTGCCTCCTTCAGACTACAATGGTATCCCTATACATAAGGCAACTCGGACTATAATATATTCACTGATACCATACCTTGCGGAACTCGCCAGACACCCGATAGGTAAAAACATAGCACCAGTACAAGAGATAATGTGTACTGGGTGTCCCACGATGGCTTCCAGCCAGCCCCTTACTCTATAATTTCTATATCTGTATGTAATATCAAGCCAAGGGACTATATATGAGAATAGCTTTTTGAGTCATACTGGGTCGAGCAAGACATTATAACCGCAGATGGCTCTCTCGCTCGGATTTGGTTATCCGTTTGCTCCCTCAAGAATCGCGAGTAAATCATCCATCCCGTATTAACAAAAGCCCAATGTGCACCTAATTAAGAAAATCCCTTGCCTATACAAAGAATTAAAGCTTGAATAGTGCCACCGGGTCTAGGACTAGGCCCGCGGTTTAGATTTTAAAATGAATAAAAGTATAAGTTACGATCCGTGACAGGGATACTAGGGTTGGTTGAGAGCCCCGTATCCTGGACGATGAGATCCCGCAACCTCAGTCCTGATTCCTTTCGGTTTCCCGTCTTCTTAGAATTATTGGCATTGCGACAAATATTACTAACCGGAGGCTCTGCTCCGGTACAAAGCCCGCTTGGCTCAGCGGTAGAGCGTAAGTAACAACTTCAAACCAAAAACCTGACTAGCACACTAATTCGTTATAGGCATCACTTGTAATGATGAGGTCGTCAGTTCGACTCTGGCAGTGGGCAATTTTTTTTTTTTTTGGACACCGCAGACTAGCACCGCGGAGAAACGATAGGCCACGACGGCCAAGATCCTATGCAGTGATTAGAAACGAGAAGCGACGGGCACTCGCTCACCCGGAGAAGGGAATGGCGGGAGGCCTTGCAGGCAAACCGACATATAGGCCAAGGGTTATTGGATAGGCTACTTGTTGTACTATCAGTGTAAAAGATAGACCTAGCTATAGCACGTCCCCAATACCCTACAGGAGACTCAGAGTCTTCGTTACATGAGGACTCCCTAGCGTAAAATACACCTACCTACCCTCTCCGATACAAATACAGATATACAGAGTTTCTTGTACGGTCCCAGTACTAAAGAAGATAATCACATTAGGACTTTGAAGTGACATTATCTCGGGGCATGGAAGGTCTGCCTAGTATAAACTTCACGGTGCTCTTGCGAAGAAGGATTTGGTGACAGAGACACAGAACAGTGTATATATAGGGACCCGTCACGCTAGTACGCTCTCACTCTACGACATATCTAATGCCATCACTCTAATATAATTAATTTTCAATTATCGCTACAGTTATTTCGTACTACGAGATTTCAAGTATCCTACCGGTCCGTGATAGTTGCTTAGGGGCGCGGGACCATATGAAGATACACCCTGCCTTTCCTTGTATCAATATCATAATCAATAGTTACAGGATTTATGAATCTACCAAATTCCTTATATCCTCTAAGTTGAACTGGATTAACGGGAGGAAATTCTACCCCCTTGAAGAAAAGGGGAGAACGGCTAGGTTAGCTAATAGTACCAGTATCACCACTTACTCGTCGACTTGAAGATAACAATCATTTTCTACCAAAAGTAGCGTGCTCAAACATCTCGATCGCCAACATCATTCCCATAAATGCCTATCGGCCCCAACAATTACCGTATACAATATAACAACAGCAACAACCTAGGAGCAAGGTTTTGATATTCAATCCGCCGAGCTGTAATAACACTTGGTCCTTGTCTTAGAAGAGGCTAGCAAAAATGACATGTTAGAATTATCTGCGCCACGCCGCTTTTCCAGAGCTAGCGGCTTAAAACAAACCCAGGGAAAAGAAGCGAGGGTAAGTCCGCCATATCTCCTCGGAAGCCTTAGAACATGCCTATCATTACCCCGATCTCCTACTTCGTAGCTACTTCAGATTTACACAAGGCTACGAGTCACTTCCTATAGGCAGTGCTATAGGGAAGCCGGCGCCGCCCGCCGTCGAGCTAAGTATTGTCATCAACTAGTAGATATACATCAATTCCAAAGACAGATAGGTAGCTAGTTCCGCGGAGGTGACGGTTCCATCCGCCCCGTCCCTGTCCTTGTCCCTGTTCCTACATAGGTCAGACCGCAACATGGCGCCAATCGAAGGCGTGGTGGCAATTATGAATAGCGGGACCTAGTAATCGCGGGAAGGATCTACATAGGCTGCTTGAGAAATGCTCAGCGCTCTATGTGAGAAAGAAAAAACTCCTTATTTAGAGAAGGCGAGATTACGTTGACTTGCGGTATGTTTTCCATTTAGTAGGCGGTATGTAGCACTTGGGATGCTATGTTCATAGGGGTATAATTCAGAGACGACACTACGCTACCACGCAATTTCCATATCTATCTAGACGGCATCTTGTTCTCATTAGGAGCCAAACGAGTCCTCAGTCGCAGAAATTGGCCTTGTCACTCGACTCAGTGATTGCTATTTTCAACTTAGCGAGATACGAAGGCCAACAGCAAATTAAACTGAAAGGATGTGTTGCGCGGGATCACCCCGGTTCACATGATCATTGATCACCTGCGAGTAGACGCTCGCGTGAACTCCATAACGAGTGGGTATACGGTGCGACCAGTAGGCGATGCAGTCGGAGAACACCCTAGCATAGCGACGTTGTCGAATTTCGAGACCGAGTTCCCGGTTGATGGATTCTACAACCACATGCGTGGCGAGGGGAGGGGCAAGCGAACGCCTCCATGCTTATGCGTGATGTGCTGGAACGTGGCGGAGAGTACTGCTAGAAAGGGAACACAAATAAAAGGGAGCAGGTAGGGTTGCATCCACATCAAGTCGACCTCACCTCGGCTACTGATGCAAACCGCCTAAGATAGCCTTACTAGTAGGCGTTATAGCAAAGAAAGCCAGGATGGTTAACTCAATTGCAGCGGACGGGCTCATCCGTACAGCCCCAATGCGGTCACCGGGTATGACAGCGCATGGGAGCCTACCCAGTTGTCTATCTTGCATTTGCATTCACCTGCTTACACAAAGATCTGTCCGGATTATCCATTTTTGGCCAGCCGTAACTTCGCGGCCCTCATGCTGGTCGTGATTGTCGGGTCAGCGTCCCATTGAAGCCAAGGTCATGACAGTGGTCTGAAAAAGTGACAGCCAAACTCACTAATAGGCAATTATCGCCATGCTTGTGAAGGAGGAGCATCCCGGTCTCCGGGGCCACAACAAGCTCTTCTCGAGAAGACTTGCAATCGTGGGGATAGAACACAGTCTCCCCACCTACGACGCCATCTGCCGCTGAAGTCAGATACAGCAATGCCGTCCAGGTGGTTTTGGCGCGAATGGTCCCCGACCCATCATGGGATGGAATTTCGACCAGATTGGAATCGTCGTCTAGCAAGCGTGAGGCCCGTCGTTAGTTAGTATCACACAGTGTAATACGTATTCTATTGAAACGGACAATCAGGCCATTACAGCGCTAGCGTGACCGCCACATGAACCAGGACTGGAGGTGAGGTGTCATGGTTGTCAACAACGACGCTGCATCAAGTAAGGTGTTGGCGTTGACGTGTGCTCTTTTTGGTGCCGCAGAAGCATAAAGAAGAACACACGAATGCGCCACCAATCATTCTTAGGTTTGAAGAATAGAATGCGCGGGGTTGGTAGGTGAGACAAGATGCGACTCTCAACGCCTGACATGCAGCTGGAATGCCTCGGCATTGTCGATAACGAGCCACCTGGACGGCTTGACACACACAATAGGTTGGGAAGTTTTGACAGAGCTGACATCGAATCAAGCCCCAACATGTCAGAGATCTCACGTACAGTGGCAGTCAAAGAATTGGTTTTGAGAATACCGATAGATGCGCACGTTCGGGTTGAGTCCAACAACATCACCGCCCCTGTCCGGTCCGTCACGTTAGCGGTTAGAAGAGGGATGGGTTGGGGACAAGAAGAGCTCCCTTACCACAGATGCTTGACGGACGCATCCATGACTATGTCTCTCAGTCCCGTCTGAAGCCAGAGTCTCTGGGCGAACTGGGCATCGTTGATCTGGAAGCGATCGTTGACTCGTGTTGCTTCCCCCCGTTTCGGGCGACCCGGAGTCGTGGTCAGCGGCAGGCCAGTCAGAAAGGTCAGGTAATCCCGGCACAGACTCTTCGGCCAGAAATTCCTCAGTAAGACAATCTGATCTTGGAACGCAGGGATGGGAGTGTCAAAGGTGAGCTGGGTTACTGGTAAACTAGGTCTGAACGGCGGCCAGCTCGGAGCCGCAGCCGCCTGTGCATGTGCACGTGCATCCGCGTGGTGGCCCGGGGTACCAGATCTCTTTTGTAACGACTGCTTTCCAATGGCTCTGTTCTTGCCCATCTTTTCCTCGGCCTCCGGGTTGTATGGCTAGGCTTGCGGTATCAAGACGGCGATTGGCTACGAATGCCCATGGAAAGCTTGAAACAAAAGAAGATGGCACCTGTGCATTAGTGACGTGACATTGAAGTTGTCCAATTCTGTTTACTCATCTTCATCGTGATTCGTCGAGCTTCTCCACAATCGCTGTAGGCGCTAGTGTACGGTACTAATTCTAGTAGCTACTAATACAACACATCAGCACCGACAATGTATAAAATCTGTGCGTCTACTCTAGATATGTAGGTGTTATGTAGCTTTAGGTATTCTCCCGGGCCCTGGTACTTTCGCATGGAAGAAGGGGGATACACGGTACCTACCTCCTATCACAATAAGAAAATGCCTGCTAAGCCTCGAGCTATGATCAAGAGCTGCCGTGCGACTTTGTAGAGTAGGGATTCTGTCGTAAAAATGCCGAGAGTCCAATCGTGGCATACGGCGTGGATTGAGCATAGTGGCACTGAAGGCATCATCACTGGCCTAGGATACCTGGGGATCCGGTTAACATTCCGTATCGCCGAGTAGCACAATCCAGGAGCGACCTACATCTCGCCCGGAGCCTTGTTTGTATTCCACACACATCAAATGCCGTGAATGAACTGAGACCTGTATTTGTCCTAATTGACCGCAAGAAGCCTCCTTCGAGAGGGGTTAGTTAATCTGTCTAAGGATAAAGACCCATGGGAGCGTCGTGTTGAGAGTGAACCTCTACTATGACGACCTGCCTGGCTGAGAAGAGGCGATGCGTCAGGGCTTGCAGAATGTCGGGGAAAGCTCGCTGAGTGCTGTCTAGAAAGGGTTGATATTCCTCCTGTTCATGTATGTTATTACGAAAATGAGCCACTTGACGGAGTTCTCCATCTTATTAAACTATGTCAAGAGGCGCCTTCGAGGGGAAGAGTCCACCGGCGAACAGTATCGGCATCATGGTCGATTCGCCGGCGTGACCGTGTGGCTCCCACCGCCTGGCATACCGTCACTGCACCAAGTTGCCGAGTTCTACTCGCGCCTCAGCATCGAGGTCGAGACATCACGACTCGAGCCCGAACGCAAGATGGCATACCAGCGATTCGTGTCTGCGGCATACCTCGCCCATCGTGCCACCGAGGCAAACCAGCCACCCTGGGGTTTTGTGTGGCATCTCGAGGACTGCGTGGTCTACATCACCAAGGCGCTCCGGCTGATGGAAGAGAGCAAGCAATACGACGACAGCCACCCAGTCCACTGGAACGAGGTTTACCGAGGAGAATACTCACCAGACTGTTCACAACATGCTATTCCGCCGCAGGAGTACTGGCTACGGTTCAAGCTGGAAAGCCTTCTGCCGTTGCTGCGGCTCTCG